TTTATATATATTAAATATATATATATATATATATATATATATATATATATATATATATATATATATAATAAACGCACAGTTACAAGCACATATGTTTATTTGTACATGTCTGTCGGTTGGGTATGAGGTGGCTCTGCATGTGAGCGCTTCAAGTTTCATGGACCCGGGCAACTTTCCATTTGCAATGTTATTTCGAACATTAAACCGACCTAAAATAGCAATTCATTTTTAATGACATTTTACACTTCGATTTATCATGATATCCAATTAGAAAGATTACATTGACTTGTTTCGAATTGGAAACTAATTAGAAAGTAATTGTTTTTAATTAGAATTCAACTTGATTTTAGATTTCATGTTTTTTAGATGAAGGAGAGAAAAGGATAATATTTTTAAACTGCAAAACAAGAAAGAAAGAAAGAAAGAAAGAAAGAAAGAAAGAAAGAAAGAAAGAAGGAAAGAAAGAAAGAAAGAAAGAAAAATAGGTCAAAGAGAAAAGAGAAAATATAAAAATGAAATTCAGAGAGAAGTTGAAAAGAAAGGAAGAAAAAGAAATAATGGAACATAGACCAGTTAAAGAGAGAAGGAGAAACTATAAGAAAGAAAGAAAGAAAGGAAGAAAGAAAGAAAGAAAGAAGGAAGGAATATAGGTGAGTCAAAAAAATAAATAACGAAGTATAAGAAAGAAAGAAATTCAGAGATTTTAAAAAGAAAAAAAGAAAGATGAATAGAAAAAGATTGAAAGAATAAAGTAAAGAATAAACATGCGAAAAGAAGGAAAGAAAGAAAGAAAGAAAGAAAGAAAGAAAGAAGGAAGTGTGAAATAATAAAAAAATAGGAATTGAATGAGAAAGAAAGAAAGAAACAAACAAACGAAAAATCGGAAACAGAAATAAAAAAGAATGAGACATGTAGAAAGAAAGAAAGAAAGAAAGAAAGAAAGAAAGAAAGAAAAATAAAAGGATGATGACAAAATAAAAGAAAGCAGAAACGTAAAAAAAGAAAGAATGGAAAATTGAGATCAAAGAGAAAAACAAGAAAGATTTTCATAGTGTGTGAAGCGAAAGAACATTTAAAAAAGAAAGAAAGAAGAAGAAGAAGAAAGGGAAAAAAGAACAATGGAAAAGAAAGAAAGAAAGAAAGAAAGAAAGAAAGAAAGAAAGAAAGGAAGGAAAGAAAGGAAAGAAAATAGACCAATCAAAGAGAGAAAAAAGAAACTATGTGAAAGAAATTCACAGAAAGAAAGAAAGAAAGAAAGAAAGAAAGAAAGAAAGAAAGAAAGAAAGAAATATGAGTGAGGAAGTAAGATAGAGAATAGGAAAAAAATTAAGTTTAAAAAAACATTTAAAAAAGAATGAAAGAACGCACGAAGAGTCAAGGAAAAAAAGAAAGAAAGAACAAAGAAAGGAAGTAAGAAGGAAAGTAAGAAAAATACGAAACGAAAGATAAAAGCAGAAATATACACTAGAAATGAAAAAATACGAAACGAAACATAGCAATAAATAAATAAATAAGAAAGAAAGAAAGAAAGAAAGAAAGAAAGAAAGAATAGATATAAAGAAAAGAAAGAAAGAAAGAAAGAAAGAATTGATATAAAGAAAAGAAAGAAAGAAAGAAAGAATAGAAACAAAGAAAGAAAAAAGAAAGAAAGAAAGAAAGAAAGAAAGAAAAATTGAGTCAAATAAAAAAAGGAGAATATGTAAGGGAGAAAGATTGTAGCAGACGGTATGAAGAGAAATAACACTTAAGAAAGAAAGAAAGAAAGAAAGAAAGAAAGAAAGAAAGAAAGAATAGAAAGAAAGAATAGAAAGAAAGAAAGAAAGACTGAGTCTAATAGAAAAAGGTGAAAATGTAAGAAAGGAAGAATGATTGTAGGAGAGGGTGTGAAGAGAAATAACACTTAAGAAAGAAAGAAAGAAAGAAAGAAAGAAAGAAAGAAAGAAAGAAAGAAAGAAAGAATAGATATAAAGAAAAGAAAGAAAGAAAGAAAGAATAGATAGAAAGAAAGGTAGAAAAGAAAGAAAGAAAGAAAGAATAGATATAAAGAAAGAAAGAAAGAAAGAAAGAAAGAAAGAATAAATAGATAGAAAGAAAGAAAGAAAGAATAGATAGAAAGAAAGAATGAAAGAAATAAACAGTGTTATTATATACCCTACCTGTGAACACTAATGGGTATGTCCCAATCCTCATCAATACGTTAGTGGGGGGTACTATGCTGTCCACGCTGACAGATCACGCTGCCAGTGTGGGAAGCTCTTGTTCTTCGGGCAGAGAGGAACCAAGACGAGATTCGTCCGGGGAGATAGACAGATACCCGATCCCGCGTATGCGGGGTCTACGGGCAATTTTTGCCCGAGTCCAAGAGCTCGGATTACCCCACATTAAATTTGGCCTTGTGTCGCATCCCACCTCGTGGGAAGACAAGTAAATATCGTAATATACTGTCTAAGTAGTCCACTACTAGCAGTGGTTTACCTGTTTCACGTCGCTGGCGAGTAATATATTTTGTTGATGTTATAAAGATTAACATTTCATTTCCAACCTCCGTTTTGGGTATTTCTTATTCAGTAATCCTTTCTAGGTTACAAAATAAAGAACCAAACAAAGGATCAAAGACGGAAACGAAAAGAAAAAGAGTGAATGAATCAGTGTAGAAAAGAGGAGGAGGAGGATTTAAGATTTAAAATAGGAAAGAAAATCTTTAAAAAAAAAAAAAAAAAAAAAAGAAAGAAAAATCCACAATCCAGATAAATGACTTTTTCAAATAGAGAGAAAAGTCGTAAAACGAAAGTAAAAAGAAAGGGGAAAAAGAAAAAGAAAAGAAAAGGTAAATAGATGAGTGAAAAGAGATAATTTAAGAAAGACTGAAAAAAAGAAGGAACAGCGTGTTAAAGAGAGAGGGAGGGAAAGAAAAGAATGTTTTAGAAGAAGAAAAAAAAGAAAATATTAATCACAAAGAAGTAAACAAAAAAGACAAAAAGAAAAGGATCAATCGAGGAATTTAAAATAAAAAAAAATTGCGAACATAAAATGAGAAAGTCGAAAGGAGAGATAAAGTGTACGAGGAACAGAAATAATCGCCAGTTGTGGAAAGAAAAGCAAGTCGAGTGAGAAAAGAAGTCATTCAACAGCTCAAGTTATAGCTTGAGCAAGGAAGAACTTTACGCCAGGCTATGTATGGGTTGACATATTCATAGGAATACGGTCTCGAATATACAATACACACCTAATATATATATATATATATATATATATATATATATATATATATATATATATAATATTAAGAATATTGAACACTCATATATAAATATATAATTTATATATTTATATGTATATATTTATATATATACAGGTCAGTGGTGCATTGTGGGTAGTTTATTCTAACGGTTATTTTCGCGGGAGCGGTTTGCTAATTTGTTTATTGTTTATGTATTTATTTATTTGTATTTATTTTACTTTGTTTTTTTTTATATTTTATATGTTTATTAAGTAGTTTGTTTTGGTCTGGGAAGATAAGTATATGTACTTTTTCGTCCAATTTTTGGATTGATTGTTCAAGTCTATTCTAACGGTTATTTTGGCGGGAGTGGTTTGTTAATTTGTTTATTATTTACTTTATTTATCTATGTATTTCGATTTATTATTTTTACGTGTTTTTACTTATTTATATTTTTATTTATTCTTTTCAGTTTATTCTATCGTCTGTTATCACCATCACGTTCGGCTACTTCTTTAGCAATTATATATATATATATGTGTGTGTGTGTGTGTGTGTGTGTGTGTGTGTGTGTGTGTGTGTGTGTGTGTGTGAAAAGTGTATATAAATATATATATGTATAATTATTTATATATTATATGAGCGGTACTTATTAGAAATCGCTCAATATCAGAGATAGAGCTAACATATTTGGTTGGATAGATGTGAGTTTGTGACCCTGGGTTTCACGCTTTAGCGATCGTCAGACAAACTTATTCGCAGACAGTACTGTTTCGCTGTGTCACAGCTCCTCAGTGCGACTAGTCACAACCCAGGATCGAAATCCAACTATCTTTACTCGGCAGAGTTACTCAGCTAAATCTAGCGTATTGTTTTTACGAATGTAAACAAATGCCAATCAGCAGAAGTGCTCCATTCATTTTACAAAAGAGCTTTGCATTAGTGGCTGTTGTTTATAGAATTACCTTATCACTCAGCAGTGCTCAGTTGAAATGTGAATTGCACATAAAGTGCTGGTTTTATTGAAACAATGCTCGGTGTTATATAACACAGCCTCGTGTGTTGGTCTTTTTGTCGACTATTTATATGTAGTAATGTAAGTATATACATTAATAAACATGCATATTATCCTGCACCATTTGCACTACTCGGAGTTTCATGCTAAACGCAATCTTCAGGTGTGAGTGTATACTGACCGTTATTTAACTTTAAAATACATCAGTTTATCGTGATGGCGGCTCTTCAAAAAAACTTTTATTTAAAATTATTTAAATAAAAGATTATTATATTTCTCATGGCGTTAAATCTAGCAACTAAACCAATGTATATTATGAAATTGACAAAGTCCGACAATTATTTTAATATATTTTCTGTTTATACGTTATTTTTATACAAATATTTAAGTAAATTCTCTATTTATAATAAACAGTATTAACAACACTTACCGGCCTGAATATTCGAAAAATTTCATAAAAAATATGCGTCCTCCAACAGGAATCGAACCTGTATCCTACACAGAATCGTCACTTAGCCAGACGTGGCATACCATTTAGCTACAGAGAAAGCTTTTGGTTGGTAAATAAAAACACTAATTTGACCTTGCCAAACAGATTTGCTGTGAAATTTCTCGGACATACAGAACAGTAAATGATGTTAGTACTGTTTATTTAAAAATTACGTGAAAACAAAAATATATTAAAATTTATTAATATATATATAAAATTTTTAATATATATATATATATATATATATATATATATATATATATATATATATATTA